CCATCAGAGGGGACATCTGAGCGCAAAGCGTTAATATGTGATCTGTCTTTTTTTATGTAGGTATTTAATGTTGTAAACTTTCCTCTCAGAACTCTTTTTGCTGTGTCCCAGAGGTGTTGGTATGTTGTGTTACTATTTTATTTTGTCTGAGCAAATTTTTTATTCCTGCCTTAATGTCATCGTTTACCCAAGAGTCATGCGGGAGTGAGATGTTCAGTTTCCAGGCAGTGGTGTAGATTTGGGAGCTCCTCTTAGTGTTGATTTCTAATTTCATTACACTGTGGTCTGAGAAGATGCTTGGTATGATTTGGGTGCTTTTAGATTTATCAAGACTTGCTTAATGGTCAAACATAGAACGTCCCATGTGAAAATGACAAGAATGTATACTCAGGATTTTGGGTAGAAAGTTCTGTAGGTGTCCATTAGGTCCATTTGGACTGTAGTCCTGAGTCCAGTGTTTCTGTATTAACTTTCTGATTCAGTGATCTGTCTAGTGATGTCCGTGGATGTTGAAGTCGCCCACTATGGTGTGACTGTTGACTTTGAATGCCAAGTAGTAGTGTTTGTTTCATGAACTTGGGTGCTCTGGTGTTTGGTGTACTGTAGATTTAATATGGTTAAATCTCCCTGTTGAATATTGCCTTTCATCATTATGTCTTTCTTTGTGTGTGTGTGTGTATATGTGTTTTAACTGTTTTTAGGTGAATGCTGAGCTATCTGATAGAAGGATGGCTACTTTTCCTCATTTTATTGTACTTCCACCTGCTATATCTTTTCCACGCATTAAGTTCAACAGAGTTGCAGAATACGAGATCAATATACAAAAGTCAGTAGTGTCCCTATATGCTAGCAATGCGTAGTCCAAGGATGAAATTAAGAAAACATCCATTTACAATAGTATCGAAAAGAACAAAATACTTCAGAATAGATTTAACAAAAAAAGTACAAGACAAGGTTTGTATACTGAAAAATATAAAAGATAATTGAAAGACATTTTAAAAAGACATAAGTAAATGGAAAGAAATCTCATGTTCATGGAATGGAATAGTTAATATTATTAAGATGGTAATCCTCCCCACATTGCTGTACAGATTCAATGCCATCCCTGTGAATTTTCTGGCTGCCCTTTTTTTTTTGGTAGAAATTGGCAGTCTGATCCTAAAATTCAGAAAGAAATGTAAGGGACTAAGAGTAGCCAAAACAGCCTTGTAAGAAAAGAGCCAAATTGTAAAGAGCCAAAAGAGTAATCAAGACAGTGTAATTCTGGTATAAGGATAGACATAGAGATTATTGGAATAGAGCTGACATGCAGAATACATTTATGGTCATTGTTTTTTTGTTTTTTTGTTTTTTTGAGTTGGAGTCTCACTCTGTCGCCCAGACTGGAG